AATTTATCGAAATTCATACCGCTGTTATTACATCTAAAGAAGCTAATAGTGATAAACTAGCCACTAATGATCTCGTTGTATTCGGGTACCATTTCTATCTTTTTGTTACTGACATCAAGTTCAATATTCAGTAATAGTTTAGCATATAACAGATCATTAGTTATCAAAGTTGATACTGCTGAACATCCGTTTAGACGATTGGATTTCGACTTTTATTACTAACAGTACCTTAAAAGCATGAATCCCACATCAACATTTTCTGAAAATACTTGGAGTAGAATTGGCGGTTATTTCTTTTATCATTTATTGGCAAATACAATGTTTCAACACCACTAAATATTGTGGTGGAGTTTAGCTCAGTTTCCTTAATTTCTTATAATTACTTAGATATATCGCTGTTAAAATAATCAAACTGTAGAATGTCTAAATCACTTCTTGTCAATGTTGAGAATTGATACCGTAACCGCCTATTGATATGTGACAAACAAGTAAAATAATATGAAAATTGCATAAAGTTCAATATCAATAAAATTCCTAGTCACTAAACCACTAATTTTAGTATTTATGTTCGAGTCTTTTATTGACATATGATCTGATTCCAATTAGATCATATGTTGATCGCTATTGAATGATTGTTATTGAAATATATATATGTCGCCTATCCTCGTGTATAATTATCGATTTAAACCACATTAGTGAATAACGGGATTAAATAAGTCAAATAAATGAAAGGATTTTTGAATATGTATATTTTGTACACTCATTGATCTGTACAGACAATCAGCGGGACGAAGCGAAATGACAAGCAGTGGAGATGGCAGGCGAGTCAATTCCATTTCATTAAGCGGTAATCAATATTTATAGTCACAAAAATAAACTATATACATGTGGGGTAAGTAGGATAAGATATATATACATATATATACATATATGCTCATATAAAAACAGTCAAAGTTGATAAGCGAATAGTTAACATGATAAAAACGTGACTCCAGAAGCTAAAATAAGGTATATGGGCTTAACATAGTAACCGACACTATAGTCCATATACATAGTAAATATTATGTATAAATTGTATTTCAACTCCAATTGAAAACTTCTTGTATTGTTTAACTTATGAAATGTAAAGTTTATTTCGTACTATTTTGAGTTCTGCTTTGTTCTCTAGCTTAATTACTAAGTAAATTGTGATTCTCATCAGATATGAAAGCAACAATACTAGTGTGTAAATGAAAAATTTGGTGATGAAGCACACTGATCACGTTGAATAGTGTTACTGATTATAAATTAAAGATGTTTTCTAAGGGCAACATGAGTATTAAAGTAAGCAAGAGATATGACCAAATCTTATATTTAAAAAAACGAGGATAAAGTTATGGCTTAATGATTAAGAGGAGAGGAGGGAGAGGACAAACCAGCTTCCAGCTGAGGAGACGTTGGAAGTGGATAGGACACACATTGAGGGAATCATCAAACTGCATCACCGGGTGAACACTAATTTGGAATCCTAAAGGGAAACGGAAAAGTAGGAGGTCAAAGAACACACTGTGTCGGGAATTGGAAGCAGACACGAAAAGCATCAATAGCAACTGGAAAGGATTGCCCAGTACAGAGTTGGATGGGGAATGATGGTGAGAGGCCTATGCTACTCCATAAATAGTAACAGGTATAAGTAAGAAAATTCAGTATTCCTAAAATTTTTTTAACTTATAGGCTATCATTTCCCTAGACAACTTTATAGTGAATTTATTCTGCTGCTTTATTATCTTGGATGAAATTATCAATACAATCTTCATCATAAACAAATAACATTTAATTTTTCTGCACTTATTCCTCAGAACAATTTAAGGTGACTGTAATGGTATTTTACCCACAGGCCCACTAACAATTGAAGCGATCAGCATAGCCAATGGACAAATCAAGGACAGCAAGGAAGCAGGACCAGACAACATTCCAGCAAAGGCACTAAAAGCTGATGTAGCAGTAACTGCAAGGATATTCCACATTCTCTCCAGATTTGGGATGAAGGACAATTACCAACAGACTGGAAAGAAGGACTTCTGATCAAAATACCAAAGAAAGGTGATCTCATCAAGTGTGATAACTACGGAGACATCACTCTTCTATCAATACAAGGAAAAGTCTTCAACAGGGTATTGTTGAACGGAATGAAGGACTCTGTAGACTCCCGATTTCGCGACCGACAGGCAGGATTCCGTAAGGATAGATCGTGTACAGACGAATCATTGTGGAACAATCAATTGAATGGAATTCATCACTCTGCATCAACTTCATTGATTACGAGAAAGCACTTGATAGTGTGAACAGGACAACGCCATGGAAGCTTCTTCGACGATACGGCGTGCCTGAGAAGATAGTCAATATCATACGGAATTCCTATGATGGATTAAACTGCAAAATCGTGCATGGAGGACAACTGACAGACTCGTTCGAGGTAAAAACCGGTATTAGGCAAGGCTGTTTACTCCCACCCTTTCTTTCTCCTGATAATCGACTGGATCATGAAGACATCAACATCTGGGGGGAAGAATGGATACAGTTGGTTGGTGGTCGTCGACAGGAGACCCTGGACCCGGGTTTCGGGCTACTTGGCACTCGTCAGCAAGACGTATCTGTGATCTTCAGGGACCTGGTGCTCCCTGATGGGTTCGATCCTTTGTCACCCAGCTTCACAGTCAGAGACGTTACCACTGAGCTATCCGGTCCGCGACCGACTTCTTTTAGGACTGAGATGTAGTCACAATTGACTGATCACTGGGTGGTGACCGATGTCATGTGTGTGAAGTCCTTATTAGTGCAGATCGAATGCTATCGACCATGTTGCAATGTAGCCACCAGTCTAGGAGACTTGACACTGCTAATGAGAAGTGGAAGACAAAAGAACACATTACTATGAAAAATGGGGACAGATATGAGAAGAATGAGCAAAAATTGGATAGAACTAGGAAGGAAGGCCCAAGACTATGGGTTGGAGAATGCTGGTCGGTGACCTATGCTTCATTGAGAGTAACAGGCGTAAGTAAGTAATTAAGTAACACAATCAATGAACCACGTATATATTTATATTTCAGCAGGAAATATATCATACTATAGGTCCGGTAACGTTATATAAGATAGTCATCAAGACATAACGATTGACTTGCTTAGCTTCATCTTGTAAATATCTCTTTATGACTTGAGATGGTGATTGAAATTCTTCACAATGTCGATTCTTTAAGTTGTGTTCACTGTTCCATGGTTGTAATGTAATTGCTTTCTTCTCGTACAAATTTGATGCTTCAATTTCAAATACATCGTCTTTTAAAAACAAGAGGTTAGATAAGGCTCTAGCTTTAGAAGTTGAGAATATTCCTTCTTCTTCTGAGTAAAGGTTTTCGTCTCGAACATCGTTTAGTGTTCCGTCAATTAAACATGGACATAAACATTGACAGATCAAACGTCTTTTGTTATCCAAATCGACATTCCAGTCAGTCATTCTATCTATCTATCTATATTGATTTTATGAGTTCAAAATAGATACATTTGTTTATTTTAATACTGTATTGACTGCCTATAACTAATGGGTTGCATACTTTGTATTAATGAATCTTAATGAATGGTTATATAATTGCAAAGGACGCTTTTTATGATATTGAATTATTTTAGGTTACATTGTGTACCGCGGGGTGGCTACTCTAATTACTACCGACTGACCAACTTCATATATCCCAGTACGACCCCAATACTGTTCCCCAATCTCCAATATATCAGAACATGAAGCGTAGATGAAATTGTTTATGGGGTCAGGAGAAGAATAAGAATAGGAATGATACTTTACAGACAAATGCATATTTATATAGTTAGGACTACCGTGAATATTGACCAACAGAAAAATGACACGTGAATTAAATATTGACCAGTAGGGAAACGACACCCTTTAACGTTCAAGGATAGTATTAGACTAAGTGCCATACACCATCTGATAAGGCAACCCCCAGAACCGTAAGCACATGCAACGTAGTTAATGACGAAGTTTTTGACCATCTAGCTTGTGCTGGGTCGGTTGGAGAGGAAGTAAACTTGTTTTCCGTTCGAAGAGACCAGTGCCATTATCAAAAGTTGATGAAGAATTAAACCACCTACAACTAGAAGGAGTTATCACACCTGCCCCTAATTCTGTTTGGGCTGCAACAACTGCGGTTATCCAGAAGGCAAATGGCACAACACACAGATCTCTACAGGCCGTAACACAACCCTTAAACATCATTACACACTATCAGTTCCCACAGATTTATTCACTAAGCTAAATGGTGGGAAGATCTACGCAAAGTTGAACCTTATTGACGCGTATTTACAAGTGGTGTCTAAAGAATAAAGAGACCTACCAATAGCGATTTGTTTTAGTATAACCGTCTACCACTTGAGGGTTGAGACCGTCCCATCTATTTTCTAACAATTAATGGGTGCCATCCGATCGAGTATCCTGGGGATTATTCCCTTGGATCCTATCTCCCTCTATCGTTTCCTAAGTCTAGAGGAAAATAGAGTGTATGGTCGAGTCTAAAAGTCTTCAACAATTTCCAGGCACTTCTTAGCAAATAAAACATCCTTTGTAAGCGGGTTCATGGAAAAGAAAACAATATCACGAAGCATCAAAATTTTATACATAATTAATCTCTGGAAGTGTGTATGTAACTTAAACAAACGACATAGATGTAGATTATCCATCTCCATCCGCTGAACTAATGACTGTTTGAGCATTAGTTCAAAGTCGATTCGCTTGTTATACACAATCTTCAGAAGCGGAATCGAGCTCATATTACCGAACGGAGACATAAAGTAGTTTTTGGCTATCACTTTAGATATTCTGAGCTGTATACAAACTTATTTCCGCTTTTTGTCATATATGATATTCGATTGTTGCGCAAAAGACTAAAAGTTCCGATAGGTTCTTTTCAATACTACTACAACTTTACCAACAACAAAAAAAACACAAACATAATAGTCGGAACTAAGATGTTTTACAATTCAGTTGTCGAGTAAATATAATGTACATTCATATACACAGTGAGAGTACAAGAGAACTGAACAAACATCATATATATATGAACAGAACAATAAAAACGACTATCTTTTAAATGCGTTTCACTTTCTCATGACATAACTCAAACAAGGTTATAACAAATTCATAAAACAAATATAAAACAATTAAACACACTATATACAATAATGGTGAACTTATACCGGATAAAAAATAGCTAAATATATACAAGAAAATAATTCGTAATAAAACATAATAATTTGCCAAAAAACGAAAAGATAATCGGGGATTATTCGTTATTAAAAAACTCTGCGATTCATGTTGTTTGGGATATGATGATGGAAGTAATAATTGACGTGCAAATCTTCCTCGAATACCTGACAATGAACACCAGCGAATAAAGTGTTGTTTCATCTGGAAATACAGAATAACAAAACCACTAGACTATAAATTCATGGACAAACTTTGAACGAATCTCAAGTGATCTTGATAAATACTAGCCAATCAGCAAACAGTCAATATAGAGTAAAAATATATTATACAAAATCAAAGAAATAAAATGGATACACTACTTTTACATGGTTCAAAAACTTGTCAATGTTAAGAAGAGGTTCAGAGGTTCTAAAATAGTAATGCATGCAGTAGAGGAAATCATCCATATGGCTACAGAATAGTCGGCCTCTGGAGCCATGATAAAGTCTGAAAAACTCTTTCAGCATCGACCATATAGCTTCAATATTGTTTGTGAGCTCCCAGGTTGTTGAGTACACAAAATGCTACTTGTGGATAATGACACGATGCACATAACCAAGCCTATGTATGAGGCTGTATTCTCTCCAATCATCCGTATATAATGTAGTGCCTGGATGCAGCGTATACACAAGGCTACATGGATCTCACCGGACCACACTACAGAGAACCAGATAGATCATATTTGCATCAACAAAAAATTCCGAAGGACAATGGAAGATGTGAAAACCAGGAGAGGTGCTGACATAGCTTCAGATCACCACCTAGTTGTAGCCAATTTAAAACTGAAGCTGAAAAAGAACTGGACAACTGGACAAACAACACTACAAAGGTTCAATAAAGCCTTCCTTCGAGATACTGACAAACTCAGCGAATTCAAGATAGCTCTCAACAACAGGTTCCAAGCCTTACAAGATCTACTGAAGGGAGAAGAAAATACTATGGAGGACAATTGGAAAGGCATCAAAGAAGCATTAACTTCAACGTGTCAAGAGGTTCTGGGCCTAAAGAAACACCATCATAAGTAATGGATCTCTACAGAAACACTGGACAAGATCAAAGAAAGGAAGAACAAGAAGGCAGCAATTAACAACAGCCGAACACGAGCAGAGAAAGTCCAAGCACGAGCTGAATACATAGAAGCAAACAAGCAACGAAAGAGGAGCATTAGAGTCGACAGGAAGAAATACGTGGAAGAATTAGCAACGACGGCGGAAAAAGCTGCTAGAGAAGGAAATATGAAACAGCCTTACGATACAACGAAGAAACTAGCAGGGAAATACAGTAAACCAGAGAGACCGGTCAAAGACAAAGAAGGCAAGCCAATCACCGAAATTCAACAACAGAGGAACAGATGGGTAGAATACTTCGAGGAACTCCTGAAAAGGTCGATTCCAATCAATCCAGTGGACATCGAAGCAGCACACACAGATCTTCCCATAGATGTCAACCCACCAACGACGGAAGAAATCAGAATGGCCATCAGACAAATCAAGAGTGGGAAAGCAACAGGACCTGACAACATACCAGCTGAAGCACTGAAGTCAGACATCGAAGTAACTACAAACATCCTTCACCTTCTATTCAAAAAAATTTGGGAGGAGGAACAAGTGCCGATGGACTGGAAAGAAGGACACCTCATCAAGATTCCAAAGAAAGGAGACCTGAGCAAATGTGAAAACTACAGAGGAATCACACTACTGTCAATACCAAGGAAAGTCTTTAACAGAGTGTTGCTGAACCGGATGAAGGATGCAGTAGACGCCCAACTTCAAGATCAACAAGCTGGATTCCGTAAGGATCGGTCGTGCACAGACCAAATTGCAACACTACGGATCATCGTCGAACAATCAGTTGAGTGGAACTCATCACTATACATCAACTTCATTGATTATGAAAAGGCATTTGACAGTGTAGATAGGAGGACATTATGGAAACTTCTTCGACACTACAGAGTTCCTGAGAAGATTGTCAATATTATCCGGAACTCATACGACGGATTACAGTGCAAGGTCGTGCATGGAGGACAGCTGACAGATGCATTCCAAGTAAGGACCGGAGTCAGACAAGGCTGTTTATTCTCCCCCTTCCTCTTTCTTCTGGTGGTCGACTGGATTATGACGATCTCGACATCTGAAGGAAAACACGGAATACAATGGACAGCTCAGAATCAATTAGACGATTTGGACTCCGCAGATGACCTAGCCCTCCTATCGCGTACAGATGCAGATGAAGACAGCCAATGTAGCAGCAGTCTCCGCATCAGTAGGCCTCAGTATACACAAAAGGAAAACCAAGGTCCTCAAATTCAAAGCGGAAAACAGTAATCCAATCACTGTTGACGGCGAAACTCTGGAAGATGTAGAATCCTTCACATACCTGGGAAGCATCATCGATGAACAAGGAGGTTCGGATGCAGACGTAAAGGCGAGGATCGGCAAAGCAAGGGTCGCATTCCTACAATTGAAGAACATATGGAACTCAAAACAACTTTCAATCAATATCAAAGTGAGAATCTTCAATACCAACGTCAAGGCAGTTCTACTGTATGAAGCTGAAACTTGGAGAACTACAACAACCACCATCTAGAAGGTACAAGTATTTATAAATAGCTGTCTTCGCAAGATACTCAACATCCACTGGCCGGATACCATCAGCAACAGCCCTTTGTGGGAGAGAACAAATCAGCTTCCAGCTGAAGAAGAAATTAGGAAAAGACGATGGAAATGGATAGGACATACATTACGCAAATCATCAAACTGCATCACGAGGCAAGCCCTAACTTGGAATCCTGAAGGGAAACGGAAAAGAGGAAGGCCAAAGAACACATTACGTCGGATAATAGAAGTAGATATGAAAAGGATGAATTACAACTGGAAGGAGCCGGAAAGGATTGCCCAGGACAGGGTTGGATGGAGAATGCTGGTGAGCGGCCTATGCTCCTTCACGAGGAGTAACAGGCGTAAGTAACTGGATGCAGCCAGTGTTACGGGTGCTTTTATTATCCAGTTCGCAATAATTGTCATACTTTGCCTTAGTTTGGAATTATATATAGGGTTTTCACCACGAAATGACATCAGTTACAATGCCAAAAATCTATTTAGCCAAATGGACGAAAGGCTTTCGCGCCAAAATCCGAGATCTCTTATCTTATACCTGATTGATTCGTCCACAAATTATAGCCTTGCCGTTTTATTTGTTATAACCGCTCAATTATCACGTTTTGTACAAAATTCCCCGTGAACCGATCGTACGTTAGCATTAAGCACTGAAGTTGGTGCCACGACCTTGAAATCCCTCAAACGTCTGTGATTGGTTCGTTCATAAATTAGAGTCTCGCCATAACTTCTTATCACACTGATATCAACTCCGAATTGGACTGATGTTAAAAGATACCTACTCAGTAGAATGAACTCTTCGTCTAATAATATAATGTAGATGATAGGTCATTGGTTGAACTTAACTTAGTATTATGCCGGTAGGAACGAGATTGCTAGTTCAAGTGGATATTATTGAGTTTCAAAGCTTCCATTGTCATTATGAACAACACTGTGAGGCAGTTACACACTGAAGTTGATGGAGAATGGTCGCGCAATATCGTGGATTGGTTGAAGTTAAACATTAACATCTTTAAATGCTGGTTCAGTGGTCTAAAGGTTAAGCGTTTGAGCGCGAGAACGAAGGTCCTGAGTTCGAGCCCCGCGTGCGCACTGCTTACTAGTCCCATATTAGGTTGAGACGGTCGTTCCGTGCTTCGATGATTTTAATGGTGATCTAACATTAATCAGCCCATGATCTTAATCAAAAATATTTTATGCGTTTCCTTTTAGGAAATCATGAAATTCTACTTTACAGTACAGTTAACAACTTCATTTCTAGATATCTAGAGGGTTACATAGAAAGTCTGCAGCAGGAAAATACACTCAATTCTATAGTGCAGTACCAATCAGATACAAAAGGAACCTGATAAAGATCCTGACTCATCATGCTAGAATGATTTGTTCAGATGACATTATTGTAGATGAATTAGTTAATATTTGTAACTTACTTAGTGAGAATGGGCACCCAATAAAATTCATCGACAAACAGATGAAGGAGATGAAAAGAAGGACAAGGATACCTACCGTTCCTAAGAAAACATTGTTCTTAAAAGTTCAATTGCTAAAGAAATTGTGACTCAGAGACTAAGGAAAATTGTACAAAAAACATTTAATGCAGCCAGACTAAGTGCCATCTTCTACAACCACCCCACAATAAGAACGGCCAATAAAGATAGATTGCTTGAATTCGCCAGATCTATGTGTACTTGTCGATTCAACTGCTCCTGTGGAGCCAGTTATACAGGGCGTACAATTCGACAAGTTCGTCATCGTACAACAGAACACCATCCGTCGTAGCTAAGTAAAGGAAAGGTAAGAGTGATTGAGAGTTGTATTCTCGCTCACTTGGTTGACACAGGTCAACAAGTTGAACTGAATAAAGCTTTTAAGGTTATCTACCATATTCCATCAAATTTGCCACATGGTTTACGAGTGTGTCTTTTACATATTGCTTTTTAAGCAATATGTAATAATAATTACGTGTTACATTTAAGCCATTGCAATCCATGTTCACAGAGCTAACCTTCGCATCCAAAAGTTTGTACGACCACTTTCGCTACCTTGACCATCGGTACAGGGACGTTTGTAGCAGAACATTGATTTTTGAACTTTGTATTTTACTTATTCTAAACACTCGTCTCTTGATTCTTACATAACTACTATTCTACTGACCATCCATCAAAACATTCTGTTCCTTCTCATTTTCATATATTATGCAACGTTATACTCTTCACAAGATAATACATAAAATCGTAAGAAACTTCCCCACAACAAATACAAAAGGTATTTTCTTACCATTTCAGTAAACTTATTTTCTAAATATTTGCATACTGTAAGTATGTAACGATTTTCATATGATGCATTCATGGTCGATGCATATTCACGATTTATTAATTGTTGACAAACATATGGACGTTTTACACCCATTATAATCTAAAAATTTCAATGAACAAAAATTACTATTTGGCACATGAATCGAGTAATATAAATGAAAATATTGATGTAAACTTTGGAGGCACAGTGTTCATCACACTTTGCTTATAGAAGTAGGTTAGTAACGTTTTGGATGCAACAATTCTTAATGCAAAGGATTGCGCTGTAGGTATGCCCCAAAATCCCCTGGTATGGCCGAGAGTGGGGAGAGGCCGCTCTCCCTTTCGAAATACTCTCACATGATCACGCGTATATACCTTCTGCCAGGGAAGTCCTACTCATTGCCTTCTCGTGGCGGGGGTGTTGTTTACGAAAATGAGAGGACGAAAAGCGAATGTCCGACGCTTTAACCGGACCCCAAATCAATGGTGCACATGGGCTTCAGTATCTTGAGGGAACAAATGGCGTATGAACCAATCGTTGTTCACCGGCTTCCGTGGGACTGCATCTCTTCACGATGCTCCATTGCCTTGTGGATCAGACCTTCAGGTCAAAGGCTCGGGGTGTGGCCCCTTAAGAAAACCACGTGCTTCGGTCTGGGCACCCGGGCAGTATCCCAGCCCTCACACATGTCGAACGAGATTTGTATGGCGCATATGTATTTGGTACCTCCTTGTACCAATATCTATGTGTTAAAATAAATAACTGTACGTAAACTGGCATAGATTACATGTAATGATAGTAGCCAAACTAAACAGAAGTCGTGGTAACATCCAATTAGAAACAAACAATAATCAAACGACATTCACTAGTCAAATTCAATGTTGTGAAAAATCAATGACTCTACGGATAAGGATAGTACATGTCTAGAATACGAACTACAAGAGATCGACTGAATAACTGCATTGACATTCTATGTCAGTCAATGCATCAGTTCAGGTTGCCAATGTTTAAGGAAATGTGTAAAGTGGTTACTATGAATATAATGGATATTATTATTTGAACATGACTAATAGGAAAGGAGCTCAGCAGTATCGATGTAGAATACATTTCAGCAACAATCATATTATAAATAATAGGAAAAAGATTCAAAAGTGGGAAATAAGTTTAAATAATTTAAAGGTTAAGAAGAACAATGAGGATTTGGTAACTACAGAGGAAATGTGAGAATCACACTACTGTCGGTACCAGGAAAGGTTTTCAACGGAATGTTCTTCAACTGAATGAAAGACTAAATAGACACCAGACTTCGAGATCAACAGGCTGGATTCCGTAAGGATCGGTCGTGTACAGACCAAATCATAACAAAAAGGATCACTGTCAGTTGAATGGAACCATTCACTATAAATCAACTTCATCAATTATGAGAAAGCATTTGACAGTGTGAACACGAAAACATTATGGAACATACTTCGACACTATGGTGTACCTGAGAAGGTCATCAACATCATACGGAATTCACACAGCGGACTACCCTGCAAAGTCGTGCATGGAGCACAGCTAACATATGCATTTCAGATAAGAACCGGAGTCACATAAAGCTATCTACTCTACCTCTTCCTTTTTCGTCTGGTGATTGACTGAATTATGGAGACCTCCACATATCAGGCGAAGCATATGATACAGTGGACACATTGGAGGTAGAGGCGAGGATTGGTAAAAATAAGGACAGCATTCCTACGATTGAAGAACATGTAGAACTCAAAACAACTGTCAACAAATATCAAACTCACAATCTTCAACATCAACTTCAAGACAGTTCTACTGTATGAGCTAAACATGAAGAATTACTACAAGCATCATCAAAAAGGTACAAGTATTTATTAACAATTGTCTAAGTAAGATACTGAATGTCCGTCGGCCGGATATCATCAGCAACAGCCTACTGTGGGAGAGGACAAACCAGCTTCCAGCTGAGGAGACGTTGGAAGTGGATAGGACACACATTGAGGGAATCATCAAACTGCATCACCGGGTGAACACTAATTTGGAATCCTAAAGGGAAACGGAAAAGTAGGAGGTCGAAGAACACACCGTCTCGGGAATTATATATATATATATATATATATATATATATATATATATATATATATATATATATAATTAGTGAAGCTTAGCTGTAGAACAATTAATCCAACTTAATCCATGATGAAGAGAGTAATGTTCGACGAACACTAAATGTTTGGTGTTAATCCAAAGTCTGTGACCTGTAAACAATGAACATCGGAAATCCAAAGACACAATATTAAGGCATACTGTCTAGTGAGAGTTTGAAGATGTTTTAGACATACTGGTTTTCAATGTACCTTTAACTAATGTCCAGTTTGTGGTTAGAACTATTTAGGTTTAGTCTGGAAACTCAAAACTTGTGAAAGTATCGAGACAGATTTAAACTAATTATATTGGTAATATTGGTATTGATAATGAAGCAAAATTAAGTAATTGTGTTTACTACTTATCATTCAACGGATAATTCAAACTAGATCTTAGTAACTGTATTGTTGAGTATAGTTTAAGAGGTTCGAATTCCGCACAGTAAGGTAACTACAGTAAGTATCAACAAGTTACTTGTATGGCAACTGGTAAGACGATGTTTCATAGGCTTTTAAGGATATAGTTTTAAAATTTGGTGTATAGATCGTTACATAATAACTTTGGGACACAAGAGGCATAAAAACCCAGTTCCTTGTTGGTATGAGAAAAGATAGTATAAATAAACAATAAATAGAAACTGGAACTATTCACCTGGAAACGATCCAACGGTGTGAGCTTTGTATAATATCTTGATGAATCATGGCTATTTACGAATGTTTTGGGCATCGAACATGCGTCTATATTCCAAGATGAATTAGAAAAATCACTTGGAGATAAATTATCTTTATAAGGGTGTTCAACACTAGGAGATTTCGACGAGGTTGGCGGAGATTTTAGGTGAGGTCGTGTAAGTATCGGACTAGCCGATAAATCATCCCACTGTATACGACCATTCGGTGGTGGTTTCAAGGAAATATCATGTACAGCTTCGAAAGTCTATAGAAGAGAAAAACGATTTTATGGGGAATTCAAAACAAAATTATATTGAGCGCTTTTAAGAATGTAGCTAAAACAACGTTAATAAAAATTACATTGCACTATTTCCACAACCATATACTGATAATTATCATATGAACACTAGTGAACAGTTTCGAGAAATAATTCTCGAAATTTTAGTCAGAAGCCGTGAACAGTGGAGTCTAACTGTGTCGGGTACGAGACAGATACTCATAAAAGATAATGGAAGATGGTTACGTAATATCGAGAAGTGGTTGAAGTTAGTCCCACGTTCAAAATCGTGGATGTGCATTGCTGAGGACGAAACCGCCGCTAAGTGCTACTAACTTTCCAATGGTGGTCTAATATTGACTGGTTCATGATATCAATTAGACTCAAACAATTTACATCGCTGGATAAGAACGAGATGAGAGACAATAATTCATGTCTACGAACAGACATTGAATTTTAACTCGGTATTGATGAACATCACAAATTAAGAAATACATAACTAAGCGATTGTTTTTTAACCTGGATTTCCCTAGTATCTTAAGCACTATATGCTGGGAGTTGGACTGATGACATAGTTTCACTTACATTCAAAATGAATCTTACAAAACCAAAAAATTAAGAATAGTTTGATTTTAATTTCAATAAGGGGATGAGAGCGACGGAACATATAATTTGTATTAGTGAGACTCAACGCGAGCATTCTCAACAACTGACTCGTCACAACAGACAAAGTCCATGAAGCGTTGTATTAGGGTTCTTGAAGATTTAGTTATTGGGTTACACATGGTATATTCAATAAATACATCAATAGATCTACTAAGGTTGTTAGTTATATACATTTTGAGTCAATGTTCAATCTCTTTCGTCACCAGCGCTACTATATCATTCCGATTTGTTTGACTAGTCATCTTGTTAATTCCGTTTTGTTGTGATAATATGGTATGGGAGCAATACACATCAGTGAGAAGCTCTACTTTAATGATGACTGACTGAGTTGTTGCTCAGTGGTTAAAGCGTTCAACCTTCAGTCGCTAGGTCACAGGTTTGGACTCCTTTCCATATACCCCAGTTTGCGTACTCAGCGTCACATTTAGAGTGTGGTTTGAAGTCAAGTACATTAGTCTGTTCCTGGTAGACAATTAATACTGCAAATAAACTGAAGCTGTCTAATGTAGATCAATAAATTCCAAATAAACTGATGAATTGTGTCATGTCGCTGTATTAGGTGAAGAATATATCCAAACTTTAAAGTAACTGTCTGGTGCTCTTTAGTTGATTATTTTGGCTAACGCTAGCCTGTTACGAAAACAATCCGGCACGTGTAGTGAAAGGGATTAATCTATAGTACAGTTCAAATTATGGGTAATGATTGTCAAGATTTTAGCTTCAAATAATTAAGTAAGCTTGTCGATTACTTTTTGATAATTGTTTATCATCCAATGCTAGCTAAAGAGGAATGAGTATGGGTAATCAATGAGCTTGTTTAAATACCTGCTTACTTATGGGGTAATCTAGTGACATTTTAAGTGTTAAGTTTGTTGACAATGTGGGGTTCAATAGAGTACACTAAATAGAAGCAGCTTTGATTCGTATTCACCAACCAGTTTTACTCTGCAATCAAAATGATAACTTTATTTTCAGTGAAATGTCGTAAATAGTACCAACTGATGCAATTAATCACAAAATATTTAAAAGATTAAGTTAGACTATCATGTTTAAAAGAAAGGCATACTTCTTGAATAGCAAAGAATTCTCGTAATGAATGTATTCCTTCTGTTAAATAGAATATACATTTGTTGACACTTTCGTCAGAGTTATCCATATCAAATATCAGGAAACTACATAACCATTTAGTAAATTTATCAAACCATCCGTTAGAATCTGATAAAAATTTGTCCATCTTTTTTATTACTTCAGATTGCAAACTAATAGAATCAATCGAAATAGTTAAATTATCATTATTTATAATATTATTAAAATTTGTTTTTATTGAATATTATGTTATATATATATATATATATATATATATATATATATATATATATATATATATATATATATATATATATATATATATATATATATATCAACCTCCTTGATTGTGAGAAAGCATTTAACAGGGTGGATAGGCGAACACTGAAAACTTTTTCGACACTATGGTGAGTGAAGACCAGTGTCAAACAAGGCTTTTTACTCTCTCAACAATAACCTGCTGTGGCAGAGAATAAACCAGCTTCCAGATGAAGAGGAAATTATGAAGGAAAGCTGGGGGTGGGTAGAACATAAAATTAAGGAAACCACTAGATTGCGTCGAGGCACGCCTTAACTTGGAATCGTAAAGTCAAAAGAAAGAGAGCCAAACCAAAAGCATTGCATCGGGAATGAGAAACATACATCCAAAGAATGAATAGTACTTAGCAGAGAATGGAAAGTAGTGTCTAGGATATAGTTGGTTGGAGAATCCTGGTTGGCAACCTATGCATTACGAGCAGTAACCGATGTAAGTAATATATATTTGTAATTTACTTCAACAATAAATAGAACAGTTATGCATTGAAATAATTTCAATTTGAAATGATGTATCCAACTAGAAATCTTAACAAGTTAGGAACATGGCCAATTGAACTTTGAAGTTGCTAAACAACTCATGAAGTGGTAGCTGAGGCCACGAAAATATTTCATGCCTATTGTCATCCTCAAATGCCCTGGTACAGCCGAGAGTGGGGAGAGTCAGCCCTCACTATCGAAATGTTCTCACATGGCCATGTGCATACAACCACTGACAGGGAAGCCCTCACACAAATCGTTTGATTTGTGTGGCTTATATATATTTGGTGCCTCCTTGTACCAATGTTTATGTGTTTCAATTAAAAAACCTCCCAGAGGGTTCTGAGTCCCATCAGTTTATATCTGATTGTAGTTGATGATGGAACTCAGCTTAGATATGACATAAATAATCTTTGACTGAAATGAAAGAATGACAAAATTATAAACTTACTTTACTTTTGTAATCATCATACAATTTAAAACCCTTTCAACAGTACTAATTATTACAGGATTCCAGAGGCCACTTTGTTCCCTTTGATATTCAGATACTATTACATTGGATAAAGTAGCGTCTTGTTGTTGTTCGGACAAAATTTCTATCAGTGAAAATAGAAACGAATGAAAATCAGATACTTATAAGAGTATTGTTTGAGTATTCGTAAGTCATTTTCAAAAGAATTGCTACTCATTTTATAGTAAGACATTTCTTAATAAAGCGTTTATCATCTCTCGCTAAACTATTTTTAAGAATAGTTAGTCTAATCACCTTTCATTGTGTTTATAATGAAAGAATAGTGATTTCATTGCTTTCAGTACCCTTCCATGTTTCAGTATATCCTCGAATATTCTTCAGTCGCCATGTCTTACAACTTATCATTTGGCACTTCATAAACTATAGGCACTATTTTCTACATCAGGGATTTAAGAATAATCTGCCATCATAATCAAATTAAGCACAATAAGCTCATCGATAATTAAGGGTACATTGACACGTTTTTTCTTGGACACACCACTTTTCAGGAAAGTATAACAGTTATCGAGTGGTAGCTAAATAATGATAACGAAGTTTAGACTAACGCAAAATGTAAAACGATACAGTATTGTGTGATCAGTTGTTTTTTAGTTATGTATATAATCAACAACCTTAGTAGATCTATTGATGTATTTATTGAATATACCATGTGTAACCCAATAACTAAATCTTCAAGAACCCTAATACAACGCTTCATGGACTTTGTCTGTTGTGACGAGTCAGTTGTTGAGAATGCTCGCGTTGAGTCTCACTAATACAAATTATATGTTCCGTCGCTTTCAGATCAGTATGAATATTCAAAGTAAACTGTACTGTTTACTTGTTTCAAAGACCATGTTGAAACGTCATGAATTTATGCAGATTGGATTGTTGCACAATGTATATACGGCCTTTGGCTGTCAGGCGGGGATGCTGCCTGCCGTAAATGACACAAGTTGGCGAAGGTTAACCATGCTTTCTGAATATTTGTCAAAATTTTATTACACGTGAACCCTTCAAGAGGAACATTTTCCCTTTAGAAAAAGGGAGGAGCATAACAAACATGTTTGCGTTGTTGTTCATAAAGATCAAAAAATTGCATTTCATCAGTGAATTCACCATTGTGAACGATGTTATATAATTCAATAAGTGAACCGTTTGGTACGAGATCGCCTTCCTGTAGATCTATGTGCAAAAGTGTGACAGCAGTAAAGTGTATCCTTCAGACAACCAGAATGACAGCGATGCTGCCTTCCCACAAGGAGGGGTGGGGTTAGAAAAGATCGACCCTAAAAATGCACACCTCGCCTTATCCCACGGATATTCGTCTCCGGCGGTAAGGTCTCTACAAGTACGGAGCTAACACGAAAATTACTCATAAAAAGGTCATGTGACCGACCTCAAGCAGTTGTCCCTTGGGCACTGCGGTCACGCTCTCAGGTCACTAAGACCACCTTTAATCCAATTTCCTTTTCAGGTACCTCCAGATGATGATCGAAAACCAAGCATGTACTCCAGGAGTGGCAATCTCCAACGATGTTCCATTTGTTCATCGTTGAGTTGATGTTAAGGATCCAACAGATTAAACAACGTTTTTTCCTTTTGCTCCATGATTGTACTTACTTGGAATAATCGGTTTGGGTATAACCGCAATAAATAGCCACCGTTATCTGGTAATGGGGTTGGGATGTCATAGGACTTACATAAGCTATTATAACACGGTTATATGAGTTAAAACTGATGGTTGGAGACCTTTGATTACATATTTCGAAATCTTTGGTTTTCAAACAGTTCATTTTTAATTTATTCAATTATCACATGTTACTTTTTGTTATTTCAAACGTAATGACTTGAATAAATGAAACAAATTTAATTGGTTTCCGAGTGTGGTTTTTGTCCTGTACTGACGTCACTAGGAGAAACACTAGTTGGGATTTTCATTTATATTTGAGATGACTGAGAGGTTTCTACCTGTTAAGTCGGTTTTACATTCTATCCTTACTCACTTCTCTTCCATTCTATGCGTATTGTTTTAGACTACTTATTTACATTCAGTAAATAGTTGTATTTTCAGAAATGTTTAAACTTACGTTATAGCGCAACTTTGTCGTGTAATATTCTGAAATATTTACATATCCTTATAACGTTTATTGTATTCATCATTATAATTACTCTACCTCAATCACTGTAGCAGTTATCCACAATTTTGTGCATTTGTTTAAACACAACGGTTCCCATATTGTTTGCTCTTGGTTCGGGTTTTGCTTGTTCATAAACTGTTACCAAGTTTAGACACAGCCATCAGCTGTCTTTTTGCACTATTCTATGTTGTAATTATTCTTTCTGTTACTGTTACAGGAAGCCCTTTTTATTTCATACAAAAGGACGCATTAAACGCCACAGACACCTCACAATTTGAGGTTTGTATCTAATTTTTGTGTATTATCCAATAAAGTACTGCAATTTTAGACAAACCGTTGTTTTGCGAATTTCGGTTTTGCGCGTATCTCAATTGGGTAACTTGGACGCTTTGATAGACCTAACACTACCCAAAAACTACACACAGAGCTGTAACTTCGGTCGTCAGGTCACGCAGAGAAGAGTAAAACATTGACTCCGAATTCAGCAGTTCAGATTTCCAACTTCAATTAGGTCACGGTACAAAGTAGTGATTATTCAATTTTATCGGCGGTAAATTCCTATTTACTGATAAAGTTGAAATCTATCAGTTGGGATTTTTCAATAGAAATTTATCAATCCACTATTAAGGTAAACAATGAACAGAACAAGATTACTGCTTCAGTACATTTTTGTCTACTTGAGAATTAGTGGAGGATTTTATTTATTTATGCGTAATGCTGGATGGCTGCAAAGAATGCTGTATGTAAACATGAATGTAAATTGTAGTCTACTATTTTTCGATAAATCTTTACTTCAACCCTAATGAATATCGTTTTAAACCGTCAAAGATAAAAGTAAATAAACCAAAAGCAGAATAAATTTTTATAAACATTTACAACTAACTTTCAGTATTCAGTAGTAGCATTTTAAATCCATCCTGAGAAAACACTTTTGTCACACGATAAACCATATGAGCATTTCGAGACACACGTAAATCAATTTTAGTAACTCTTTCCATAAATAATAAGAGTAAACCAACATAAAGGCTGTAATGACGGGCAACAAATGTCAACCTAAAAATGAAATACGATTATTGTAATTTGAATAGATGAAATACAACCAAGAATATGAATAATTTCTTACTACACTAAACATGACTAACTCATGTTCATATGGTGAAACCTAAGTGTTGGTCAATTTTTTGTGGATTAATCATACCACATATGTAAACATTGTGTGAGGTCTATAACTGAAACTGAATAGATACTCGGATGACTTGAAATTTGTTAGGGATATCCCAAAGGATGAAAAAAACAGATAGGTAGTTAAAAGCATACAATGATAATTTACACTTGGATACCGAAAGGTATTAATTTTTCTATAATATGCTCCAGTACAGAGTTGAATTTCAGAGAGAGGATGTCAAGTATCATAGCAAAGGCTGTTTCGAATGCTGACTCTAATGCATTCGGGAAGTCGATCTTTGCTATCTGACCTGCAACCAGAAAAATAAAACTAGTCATCTGAACTTATTTTCTCTAACTGGACGCTTATGCTTTAGTACTTATACATTTGTTGATTTAACAAAGTTAACTCAGTTTTAGATGAAACTATTCTTGGGTTGCATATGAAATATTTATTTATTTATATAAACACAAACATTGGTACAACGGTGCACCAAACACATATGTGTCACAGTTATTAATTTGTGTGAGAGCTATGATACTACCCGGTGCCAAAACTGAAGCATGTGGTTCCCATAGGGGGACACATGCGGAGCCTTCGACCAAGAGAGGTCTAATCCATAAGGAAGTAGAGCAACGTCAGGAGATGCAGTCACATGGCAGTCGGTGACCAACAGTAAGTTCATACGCCTTCTGTTCCCTTACGATCATGGAGCCCATGTGTACCATTGGTTTGGAGTCAGCGTTTTCCAACTCCCGCAGGTGGATCCTTCGTATCCACCAACCTGGTTAAAGCGCCGAACATTCGCTTTTCATCCTGTCGATTTCGTAAACAACACCCAGCCGTGAGAAGACAGTGGCTGTACACGTGTTGCCATGCGAGAGCATTTCGAGATTGAGAGCTGACTCTCCCCATTTTCGGCCGTACCAGGGCATTTGAGGGCCGCATCTAAAATGCAATTTATTGTTATAAAAATAAAATACTATTTCTTTGATTAATCATCCCTCGATTTAACTAAATAGTAACTTTAAAAACACGAAATTCAGCAAAGGGATGTCTTTTCGCCGAATCTACCATCAACCAGTACAGTCGTATATATATATATATATATATATATATATATATATATATATATATATATATATATATATATCTGAACTTATGAACAAAGAATAAGCATGATGCTATAGTAAAAAGGTTATAACATTAGATTACGTAGTGCTAATATTAACAACAAATGATTGTGTGTGAAAATAAAAAAGCCTTGTGAGATTGAGTTAGTAACGGCATGCAATGCAAATGAATGAAAAGAGATCCCTTCGTTGAACTTTGTGTTTTTAATTTTTAAATAGAAAATCAACCGGTTTAAAACAAATTTCCGACTAAACCAAAAAGGTATGTGCATAATTTTTCCGGTGCTGAATCAAATAAAGAAAAACCTGAAGTACTAGCATTAGATCTAAAATTCTGTGATACAAGAAACCGGACACGCAATTTGAAAACTTGAATTGTCAAACATCAGACCTATTCCTGATTAATTGGGGTATATAATTGTAGAACCTGATGAGAAATTATTGGAAAGAATATTCTTCGTTCATGTAATTGTTTTAATATAATGGGAATTTTTCAGCAGTATGCTTACTGGAAAGTAACGATATACAAACGACGATCGTTGTGAATTTAGTCGACAAATGGTTAACTAAACACCGATGACACACAGTACTCATCAGAAAGTAAATGGAACACGCCAGTCAGAACGAACAGCACGAATTTGTAGTAGGTCTCCAAGATGTTAATGACTAATGGGACATAACACCACCTTTAGGAGTCCTAACTAAACCTATCAGCAATCTAGTTTACATAACGTGAGAACACGGAAAGTAACTAATTTAACTATTTTTTTCATGGTTTCACAATAGCTATATCAGATATTACACTCAATAAGCTGGTCCATAAAACAACCGTTGATCAACTTAGAGTAGTTGAGATAGGTTATTACTTTTGAAAAAAGTGAACTGCTCAAGGACCAGATTTAGTCTAAAAAGACCATCAAAGAACACGATATGTAACACGAAATAAAATCTTTATGGTAATTGATAGATACAATAGGTTTATTACCTAAGTTTAATTATTTATACACCGAGATTCCGATGCTTGTTTAGACAGCAGAGTAATTTCGAAAAATAATGTGACTTTCAGAACCAATCAACCTGACAGGTCTAACATAATTTTCCTATGCACTTAAAAGTATTACGTTAAGTTGTAATCCAATTCATAAATTAAACAGAACATGTGATAAATGAATGAATATCCAAATCGTAATATGTTAAAAACTTACCAATCAGAATAATTCTCATTATCAATTTTTAAATTTAAGGGTGCATCCCATGGTATAGATGAAAAGCGAGTACCAGTATGTAGCTGCGGAAATCCTGAGTAACGCCAAGGTTGAATACTAGAGAGCCACGTCTCAAGCACGACTTCAAAACTTAAATCAAAAGGCCAATGTTGAAAACAGTAAACAATAAACCGTGAAAATCGATTCATAATATTGTGATGCGGTATGGATGATTCTGGTGACACTATCACGCCTTGATTATTGTATAAATATCTGTAGAGGACAAAATGTGATCAATTGTGGAAAAAAATACTTTTGAGTCTAGGATAAGTTGAAAATCTACTAGACTATTTAATGAGACACATCTGATATCTTAGAGTTTGAATCCATGATACGAATATACTTTGAGAGTGACTAGAGGAATACAAGTGGACATACTTTTTATATACAAGCTTTCAGTCACTGTATTCATCGTTATAATGATGATAATATATATTCTGGGAGTTTTTTACGGATCTCAGACCATATTACAGGCATAGTAGGAGTAACAACTAGGCATCTTTCTGCTGATGTGCTAATAACAGTATCGCTCGAAAATACTTAAGGCGACGCCTGAAACAGTGACATATATAAGGTCATTTCATGTAAACCAAATGATGTTGATTCAGCTTAGTTGCATATACACTTGGTTAATATCTTTTGGCAGGTGACTTGTGCCTTAAATTAACAAGTACTATAATAATAGATAACTATGTAGGATTTCTCTTTTAATCTAACTAAAGACCTTTATTTATGCAAGATAATTCATATGATTCGAATGTGAGGGTCAACTGTTGTACTAGTTCTGTTATTCAACTTTTAACTTGTTTTCTTGTACAGACCAGTCGGAATAAATTGAAACATTTAATGCATAAACTACCTTAGTTTGTACAAACCAACTGCATTGGTTAAGAAAATTATCACAAATAAGTAAAAATAACTTTGAAAACCAACTAATTTATGACCTACTTATATCTACTAATTAGACTATCCTTACTTTCGATAATTGAGAAATTTGTTCCATATTATCTGTTGCTGCAATATTTGGAAACAGTTTGAATTTGTATTATTGAACAATGCAAAGTAGAAATATTTTAGGAAACACCTCACCAGAAATAGTTGACATACAGTCGGTTTAGTTGAGAACTTATAAGCCAAAAGAAGATATCAAATGAGAATATTGATTATAATAAAATCTTACAATTCAAAATAATGAAATGGGTACAAGCATGAATAAAAAATATACTACAAAAATGGTAGTGAAATTAACTGATCCAAATTACAAGCATGTTAAACTACTATCAATCTGAAATGAACTTGTGAAATACAAAGGGAGATCGATCAGCTTTGCTTTTCACTTTTTAAAAGTTATTAGGGATGAGAAAACTTGATGAATAAAGCGGAATAGCTAAATGGAAAAACAGTGGAATTTGTTTAGTTGAAATATCCTAGAAGAAGCTGGAAAATTGCTTTAGGTACTGAGAAATTTAAATAAATCTGCTTTTTTTTATAGTACTATCAACTAGTCACGAGTGGACACTATCATCAATTTCTCGAGATGCTGAGATACATCAACCTTTAAAATATTATGAGCACAGAACAGAAAACGATAGCTAAGAAAACTTCGCAGATAAAATCCAGAGAAGCATTTAAAACCGAAAAGCATTAGATAGTTATTTGATCCTAATCCCAGACTTTAACTGTACGTATGTTTAGTCCGAGTGAACAAATTATCCCCGGATATTTAAGGGAGCATGACATCTTAATGAAAATGATCTTTAAATTTTTAGAAACGTGGAAGAATTGTTTTATCGAATATTGTTCCTCGTACAAATGCGAAATACAAGTAATTGGCTAACGTGTCATTTGTTTGCTAACACAAATAATGGAATGCAAACTAACTACGACAAAACTATTCTGTAGAAAACCCATTAGGAATTAGAATAACATCTGTGAAATTTATTTGACGTCCGATGGCGAAATTAACACGTGATTATTCTCAATGACCTGACGAGCGATTGATCTAAATGATTTCTGCAAAAAAACATTCAGATAGTTATGATACCAGTGTAATATAGTAGTGATTTATTGATAAGTCTTGCGGATTGAACGCTATATTCGTTTCCTAAGCTATTCTGTAACCCCCAAGCTAGAACTATACTGCGACCTGAACAAGAGAGAGAAGAACCAAAGTATGCAAGTAGTTTACTCCTAGGTTCATTTTATTACAGAAAATACAGGGTTTTTATATTTTAAATGTCCTTGGGTTGCTAGAAAATTGTGGAATGCTACTAAACATAGTAGCAGTGTAACAACCAGCTAATCAGAACCTTTGCATGTGACGTTCCACTTCCTTGATAATTTTGGCTAAAACTTCAAGTGAACGCTGATTACATGAAACGCTCCTTAGTGTTTCCTGATGCTTGCTTGTCTTTTGCAATCAGTCTTCTGGATCACTTCAACATTTATATAACATGTAATACTACTTTACAGATGAGTTACTCAATGTGACGTCTCAATGGACCGTCACTCTGGCGCTTTGTTGGAAACTGATACAACTGAGTAACAAATATTCGTGAATCCGGTTTCAAGACACACGACACATTACATGTGGCTGCCTGGACTAAACCTCAAGCGAAATTATTAGGATTAGAGTGCCTTATACACTAATTAACTGAATATCGTGCAGTAAGTAGTTGTTAAAGCTAAAGATGAAGCTCTAAATTAACATCTGTTCACCTATCAAAACTGGTTTGAACCAAACCATTCGCAGTCATTCATTTATATTTCCTTATTAGAACAAACATTTGTACAGAAGGGAACCGAATACATATGCGCCACACAGTTATTAATTTGTGTGAGAGCTATGATACTACCCGGTGCCAAAACTGAAGCATGTGGTTCCCATAGGGGGACACATGCGGAGCCTTCGACCAAGAGAGGTCTAATCCATAAGGAAGTAGAGCAACGTCAGGAGATGCAGTCACATGGCAGTCGGTGACCAACAGTAAGTTCATACGCCTTCTGTTCCCTTACGATCATGGAGCCCATGTGTACCATTGGTTTGGAGTCAGCGTTTTCCAACTCCCGCAGGTGGATCCTTCGTATCCACCAACCTGGTTAAAGCGCCGAACATTCGCTTTTCATCCTGTCGATTTCGTAAACAACACCCAGCCGTGAGAAGACAGTGGCTGTACACGTGTTGCCATGCGAGAGCATTTCGAGATTGAGAGCTGACTCTACTGACTCTCAGCCCTATCAATGTATTTCGGGGACAGTCACGCTTATATGGTAATAGGTGTTTAGAAATTATTGACACAAAAAGCCAAATACCAAGAATTACCGCAGAATGACGGATCATGTTTGCGTCTTAGGCAAGGTTGTTCATAATGCAAAAATTTTTAAAGTCACATTAGTCCAAAAAGTTACAGTAAGATGATGAAGCAAATATCTAAGGATGGTTACAAGATATAGAAGACCGAACTGAGAAAACATGCTTGTCGAGAGACTTATAGTTAAAAGCAATAACGACACCCGATAATTATCGGACGCCTAACTATGACTCGTGGACTGCAAACACGAAAGAATCGAGCTGGCTTCAGACCAGGTCGTGGATGCATCGACTACATATTCACTATACGTGGTGGACTTTCTTGACTTAAAAGCAGCATTTGACGCGGTAGACCGCGAGATTCTGTGGCAGTGTCTGTCATTGAAAGGCGCACCTCAGAAGTGCATAATCGAACACAAGTAGTCGAGCCAAAACTTATAGCGAACTTCCATCTGCTTTTGCAACCTCAAGTGGTGTCCGTCAAGGATGTCCACTTTCTCCATTTTTGTTTAACTTCATCATAGACCTACTACAGGAAATAAAATTCTCGTCGACTGAATTCTCGGGTATTGACCTCCATCCAGGTCCACTTATCGACTTACAATACGCAGATGACATAGTCCTGTTTGGTCAAGACGCTGATAAAATGCAGTCTTCTGGTAGCACTAAGCAACAAAGCCAGAATGTTTGGAATGCGCTTTTCTCCCTCTAAATGCAAACTGTTGCTTCAGGACTGGTTTGCGTCAACACCTGAACTAAGGATAGGGAGTGAAGTAGTTGAACGTGTTGACAACATCACTTGTCTTGGAATTATGATCAGCCCTAATGAGTTGGTGTCTGACGAAATCTCAGCACGGAGTCGGAAAGCTCGTTTGGCTTTTGTAAACCTACGTCACCTATGGCGAAGGCGAGATATCCGTCTATCGATTAAGGGACGAGTATACTGCGCGACAGTTCGTCCTGTTCTATTTACCGCTGCGGAACGTGCCCATCACGAGTAGAAGACACTCGTAAGATACTAGTATTTGACCACAGATGCCTTAGAAATATTGCTGGCGTCTGCTGGCATCACCGGGTAAGTATTAGTGGGGTTAAATGTAGGGTACTAGGGAATCATGGTAAATCAGTTGATGAGGTTGTGAATCTTCATCGACTGGGATGGTTGGGCCACGTGTTACGTATGTCCGAACACCGATTACCACGACGCGTAATGCTAACCGGTGTTCGGAATGTTTGGAAGAAAGTTAGGGTCGGCCAAACCAAAACGTGGCATCAGTGATTGAAGTCACTAACTTCTAGTCTGAGCCATGTTGGTAGATGCAGATTACTTGGTTGGGGTCCGCGTGACTATCGTAACCAATGGTTGGAGACTGTGAGTGACATCGCTCAGAATCGATCACAATGACGTTGGTGTATACACTCTCTGTCTTCCCTTAAACTAAGAGATTAAAATCGCTTCATATCTTTCTTTCTACGAACTAATTCTTTCTTTCTGTACTATATCCTTATATGCAATCTTTCTTTTGTATATCACCACCTCTGAATTAACTACTTTTATGAATCCGGTGTTCATCTTGTTGTGTTAATGAGGTATGGCAACTTGGGCCGATGTATATATGTGCCTGGTCCTACGTTGTAGCCGACTGACTACAACGATACCATGCTGCAAACATAACTCATTTTAAAAATTGGAAAATCCGTGTCGTTCAAAAACCAAATAAAAAGTTTGTCTTTAAAACAACTAGTTATCGATAACACTGAACTTTATTACTTCAAAGTTGAAAATATCTAGTTTGTACTGTTGTAACTGTACAGATAACATCATTTAACAATGGTTCACTGATGTACAACATTACACCAATCTCTTCGTAATTGTTCTCTTTTTTTGCGCTCCTTAGCTTTTTTTCTATTCCTCTTCGAATTCTCATTGTTTTGTGTGGCGCATATATATTGGCGCTCTCTTGTACCAATATTAATGTGTTCAAATAAACTAATTAATTGATGTTGAAACAGGATAATTTATCTATCAACACTTGGGATTACAAGCTTTAAAACAATTTTATGACAGCGTATTACGCTGAAATCTTGGCCTCTGGAGATGTGGAGTTGTGTACTTTATGTATAATACTTAATGAGTGTTTGTCGAATAGGGACTAAGAAAATCAACTTGACTGTTTAGAAGTAGTTGTGAGTTATTGACTATCTAGTAGCTAGTTTTCATTTATTATAAATAGCATTGCGAGTTGTCGCACTTCTGCTGTTTTGTAATTAGAAAACATGGTAACAAACACAGAATACCACCAAAAAATTATACATAATTGATGGTTTTAGCGCCTTCTCATGTCATATTCTTTTATATATTTACATACAGGCTGACTAGGATTTAAGGATTACTCAAAATCTGACGGATTTACGACAGTGAAATTCAGCTCACAATTTATTGAATATTCCTTATCTAGAAACCTGTATATGACTTGGTCAGAGTTAGTAACGCGCTAGCACATACGAATCTAAAGGTTTCCATTCATAATACAAAACAAACACTATGGTTCACTACTTCTTTTCCGAAGGGAATTACGTACAAAGCTATTTTGTTATTTCAATGCATAGCAGAAGTGAAATTAGTTTCATAAAAATGCTGGTAGAGCTATAGGATTTCTGTTCAAACGAGGACTTTCAGTGGAAATATAAAACTATTTAGAGGCAACACTCGTCAAAAACTACAAGTTGATTACTTACAAATTTAAACGATCGTACAATGAGAAATGTGATGACTGACAGCAAGCCTGTGAAAATTGTAGTCTTGTGATGTAGTAGTCATGTTAAATTTCTGTATACAAGATAAAAGTGCTAACCTAATTTCATCGACGAGCATTCGCTCAGTTGCGCAGTTACTTGGAATGCCATATTTGGACCCTTATAATATGCCTCTAACTTTCTAATTATCTACCAACCCTATTTTATCATTAGATTATCAGATTAACTAAGGGATACTCGAGGCACTGAGCTCATTTCGGTAGAAAACAGATTGGACCCATCTGACAAAATACAAGCCACTTTTACGCATTTGTCGGATGTCATAGCGCGAGTGTTATTTCTTTTCTAATATGATTACTGGTCCTTGTGCCAGTGTCAAATGAATTCAATGAAAAGAGGTTAATCCAAATCCGTTTTTTCGTTCAACCCTATTACAATATGGGTCCGTTTATTACTACTAAAGATGTTAGTTAGTTTAGTTACCTAAATATCCACTCAGGAACACTGCTATTTCATTTCTTATTCCATACACTCGTCATAGATCGAGTTAAAGTAAACGGGCTTGACAAGCTTATAACTCATGAAGTCATGAACTAAAAGATTATCAAAAGCATCAAATAAACCTCGTTTTGACTCAAGATATGTGATAATAACAAACCTCAGTATGATTTAATGGGGGTGACGGAATCACAGATGTGTTTTTAGGTAGATCGGAAATGCCATTAAAATAATCAGTTGCTCTCCATGATAGAAGAAATTCGCAAACGGCCTATGGTCGAAAATTATTTATTGCACATTTTACTTGTAATACTGCCTCTGTTTGCCAAAATAAGCGAAAGTCGGGAAAGCAAGTATCCGTAGATCCATTCATATACTCCCCAACAAATTCATTGGAAAAATTCCTGCGAATTTTGCAAGAAATAACTACTTACTTCTGGTATCCAGGTGTCTGCAAACCAGCTCTTAAAATGTGAAATTTAGAAGCCATTACATTTACTGTGGTTGGGTCAGTATATAAGTAAAAGCCTAAGTAATCATCAAATAAGGTACGGTATAAACTGTTTTCGAAATCGCATAACGCAAGTTCCTGCAGAACTTAATTGGCTAAATGTATATTTACCTGTTTCCATTTAGGGTACGATGCATAACACATGAAAGCGAACATATAGTAGGTAAATGCATCTGAACAGTCAACTAAAAGATGATAAACTCACTTAACGACAAATGAGTTCGTGGTTGTTTGCAACCACCTGACCAAACAGAGTTTTGCGAATCTGTCTAAAACAGAATATATACAGAAATAAATGCTTACTGATAAAAGCCAAAGTGGGAAATCATGATAGACTGATGGGAATTCAAGGGTTAATCTACTGGACAAAACCTCCAAAAATCTCCCGTTGGGCGAGAGGAACTCTCGAATAGAACCAAACAAATGTGGCTCATCAGCTTCGTTAACAGCATGTAAAGCCCAGCCTTCTGTACCACATGAATAACCGAATATATTGTCGACAACCAGAACAACCGAATTGTGGAGCTCCTAAGAAATATACATACACATTTATGGCAAACCTGTAAATTTCCACGGGCAAAAATATTATTAAGTTCTTTCACCCTGTCGATAAGTGGTAGAGATAAACAGACATCGATCGGCATCTCTGGAAACTCTGATAGGTTGTCGAAGTCCAAAGAAGCTAAGGGTTTTGGATAATCGCTAGCTATGTGTGAGTCTTTTTAATCCGACTGTCAGTACGAAATTCAGAACTACAGTTGTACCTGACTACGATGAACAACAAACATAACCAAACCAAGCACTACAAAAGCGCGAACTTGCAAATTCAGAAAAAACGCTAACCAATGTCCAATATGGTTATCACGAGCTTGAATGAGCCAATTAATTTCTTTTCGCTCGATTCTTGTCATTTCGGTGTCTGGTTATGACCAATGTGTGGTATTCTAACCGATTGACTGCACTAATTCAAGCCAGTTTGTTAATTGTTTGTGGATTAGTATACCTTGTGGTTGAGTGAGTGCGCTTATCTCAGAGCATTGAGGCTTCTGGATTCTGACAGCTAGCAAATTACCAGGTAAGAGTCCGGTTGGTGGCAATGTGAAAATAATAAATTGATAATTAGAGTGCTGAGAGATGATTGTTTCGAGAATAAATAAACAATTTACTTGATCGGCAATGTACAAGATGGAATGGAAAGAATAAGAAGGAAACGGAGAAGAGAATAAGAGAAGCAAAAAGTAGCTCCGGACGCTAGAGTCCGTCTTCGTATGATTTGTGTTTTAGACCTATGATCCACTCGGTCACTCATCTCTGGGTTCGATCTAGGAGGTTAAAGCCTGTTTTGAAGAGCTGGGACGCACCAACGTTGTGGGTATTCTACATGCCGCCGTAGGCCCGTTCTTAGTAGTTAAGAATAATTAGGGGTTGATTGAGTCAAAATGCCTCTGCATATAGTTGAGAGTTGAGCTTGTTTTGACTACATTCCTTGGGACACTTGAAATGATGTCTAGACTGTCTGTGGTTATAAGTCCGTGAAGACGCCACAGGTATTCGGAGTTTGACAACACCTTAACCTGTACCACCTTCTATAATCAAAACGTGCCCAATCAGTGAAATGAAAAGTCAGAAGTGAAGATGTTCAAAGATATATTTGATAGACTATCAATATATAGAGAAGTGATTGACATAAACCGGCTTGCGGTTGTAGGAGAATTTGAGCCCGTGTGCCCACTTGTGATCTGTTGCGAGGCGTGACCGAAAGCCTTCAGCTAGGTGAGTTCTTTAAAAGTAATGTGATCAGCATCAAATGTCGAAGACGGCGAGACTCTAATTTAAGGACGACCTTTGAACGAATCTTAGGTGACCTTGACAATTATTAGCAAATCAGAAGAAAGTTAGTATAAAGTGAAAATATATTATATGAAAGTAATGAATTACAGTGGATATTCTTCTTTTACATGATTTAAAAACTTGTTAAGGTTTGGTTAAGGTTCAGAGTTTCTGAATTCACAATGCATACGGAATAGAAACTCGTTAGGGTTAGGGTTAGTTGAGGGTTAAGGTTTAGGGTTAGGTGAGGGTTAAGGTTAGGGTTTAGGGTTAGTTGAGGGTTAAGGTTTAGGTGAGGGTTAAGGATTAAAGTGAGAGTTAGGGTTAGGGTTAGGGTTAGGTGAGGGTTTAGGGTTAAGGGTTGGGGTTTAGGGTGAGAGTTAGGTGAGAGTTAAGATGCTAACATACGAGTTTTTAAATCATGTAAAAGAAGAATATCCACTGTAATTTATTACTTTCTTACAATATATTTTTACTTTATGCTGTCTTCTGATTGACTATTAATTGAAATTGCTCAAACGCTTCTCATTGGCTCGTCCCTAAATTAGAGTCTCGACGTCCTATCTGTTGTAACCTCTCATTAATCACCTACTCTCTAAAATCCGCTGAGAACCGATCGTATGTTAGCAGCGCGTGTTGAACTTGGCTCCGTGACCTTGAAATTGCTGAAACGCTTCTGATTGGCTCGTCCCTAAATTAGAGTCTCGCCGAAGGTTAAGGTGGATCTAAGGATTAGCAATAATAGGCTGCGAGGAGATCGGAAGAGTGTATTTGGCGATTACCAATATATCAGAATTCTCTGATCTAATCTGGCTAGCAATTGCGGTAGATGTTGAGCACGGCGTTACCACACGTGATCTGGTGCGGATGCACGACCGAGCGCCTTCAGCTAGATGAGTCCACTAAAACATGGTCAGCATCCAATGTCGAAAACTTAGAGCTATTTATTTTGGGGATTTATTTACCGCTACAGGTTGTTCTAGCTACCGGGAAAAACGATTTACTCATTCATCCTGAGTCACATTTTGTCTTTATCAATTGTTCGCTTATCAACCTTGATTATTTTCACACGACCGTATGTGTATTTATTGCTTACCCTATTCGTTATACGTCTTTGGCCTATTTTTGTCTGACTATAAGTACAGAATCACACTTCATCAAATCGGTCTGACTCACTCGCCCAGTCCTCTCGCCTTACATTCTGAATGTCCGTCTGTATAAGCGAGTGACTGAAACAAATTCAACCAACCTAACCTGTGTTTGACTTCTCACTGTCTCTATCTCACAAACGAGGTTTGCCTGGGTGATGTGCAGAGTTTAATGTCAGATTTATGTTCATGGCATTTTTATCCGTTCTTTTAATCAGCAGCCAGATCAACGGACCACTAAACTTTTTATACCCCATGGAAAGTGGTATGCAGTGCAATGAATGCAAATGATAGTATTGTAGAATTATGGTCTACTATGATATTAGTGCTGCTCTTATAATAGACCTAATTCTAAATTTGTAGATTCGTCATGATATAACTGCCTAATCTATAAGATCTTACGTGGAAGTCACACCATCGACTACGCCAACTCACCGTATCGTACCAATTACCAATAAATGATGTAGAACAGGGTTAGGCTAGAGAAAGAACAATATATTTAATATGAATACAAGAAATAAGATAACATTCAGTAGGGACCACGCCTGCATGGCCGAGCCATGCCGTTCGATCAACTCTAATTCACTCAACTCATTGTTCGTGCCTTCTCCATCGTTAGGTATTTCTCCGTGCTAAATATTGAATATCTATTTTCCGAGTTGTCTCATGTTCAGCTTTGCGGATTGTGTGGTTATGGTCTAATGCCACTACAGTATCACGACGTTGGCACGAACCTCATGCCTCTGGCTTTCAAAACGTTTGGTAAAGTTGAACACGTTCGGTTGTGTCAGAAATGCTGTTTGAACGTAAACATCTTCCCGTTGCTAAAAGTAGTGTTAGCAAACTTAATCGAAAAGGATCGAGCAATTCTCACCCTGTTGATGCACAGATCGATGCGAAGCCACCCTAAATAAGCTCAGAATTTATCCATTTATATGCACCATAGGGTGAAGAGCCAACATAAAAGAGGTCTGTTAGAAATGAAAACGCAACAAAAGGGGACCGTTCTATCCTCCACCCTTCAGAAAGCAGAAGGTAGGAAGCACTTAGAAGCCTATTCATAAGGTCAAGTCTAATTATAACCGGAAAAGCAGCGACTTCGCAGCTCAGTTCATCGACTATCATCGAAAACCTTGCGGTGTGTGTAGCGCGACTGTGGTTGCTACTTCAGTGAAAGTGCATGAATGGGCACAAACAAATAGATAAGAGACGACATTGTCTTTAGGAAAAAGCTAGTCTCCCGAGTAGTACTTAAGGAATCTGGGGCTGATCATGTTTATGGAGTCAGTGGGAGTGAAATCTTAAGGTCATGAGATCAATCTGAGTATGACAGATGGTTGATAAGAGATCTACTTAACCAGCTAATGCTTTAAAATGTTTCTAAAGTCATCTTTTTTAAGTTTCACAAACTGAGTAGCCGGGTGCACTTGAAACAAAACCAAATCAGGCTGCTAAAGGTGGTGTTTAAACATTCCAATTAAGTGGACTTGGGACTGCAGAATGGGCATGAATAAGGAGGATCGGCTCTAATCATGAAAAACATTACATCCTTTACCGTTATCAATAACATATCCTGTGAAAGTGAGATGTGCAAATTGCTTGTCTATACCCATAAATTCAAGGAACAAGACTTGTTATTCTGCTTGGTCTACCTCAGTCAAACTATAAGGTGAATGAGGTCTTGCTAGATCGCTACAACACTGGGTCTTCAAGTGGTTGATGGTTTATCCTTAAAAACGTTAACGGACTTCTAGTACACTGGAAAAATTTGGGGACTGAGTCGTTCAAAATTTCTTCTTGGCAAAAGCTTGCTCTGGTGCAACATATGAAAGAAGTAACTATGTACATATCGGAATCCGAATCATCCTTACTAGGTCTCATATTGATCCATTATGAAGATGATGTCATGGACTTCGATTATATGTCTTTCACAAGTAAGAGTGCCCATTAGGCTCTAGTCTTTGATTTCGAAATCGTCGTCAACAACGGTGTGTCGGCCCAAGGTTGACCAAATGTCTGAGAGATAAATATGTAAGGAGTTATACACAGCATTCTCAGTAAGTCGAACAATATAACTAGAATACGCTATCAAAAGTTCTTGGGAGGTATTCAGGACTTTTTCATAAGAGCTACTGCACAGCACATTCCTCAAACTACACCAAGGTGGTCGAAAAACTCCTCATACTTGTTCAGTGAGCAGGTTCGTTACCTTTTCCCTAACAAAAATGTACGTTGGATAGATTTAGGTTACTTAGAATTGATGAGGTAGAATCCCATTATTGGCGAGCCCGAAATATTAGTGTTTCAAAGCTCCGTAAGCCAAGAAGATTGCGTGAGGAAAATTGCTTTCAGGAGAGCATGGAAAACGCACATTAACCAAAGGACTAAGATGAGATAGATCAGATAATTGTTGAAAAATGGTAGTGCATAATCATTGAGGAACGGTTATGGTATAGTCCACGTGTTCTCAAATTACTTTAGCTATGTATGTATCGTATAGATGCCTTCCCATAAGCACACTGAACACTGTGATCATTAAAGAACTAGATGTTTTTGGTCTGCTAAACGAGCTTGATATAAGAAAATCTATAAAACCTAATGAAACGCATTCTAGATTGCTGAAGTATGTAGCAGATTTCATCGCTAATCCCTTGAGCATATACAGCTAGGATATATTTTCAAAGGACAGAAGGAATGCCACAATAAGTCGAAACAGGTATGAGACACAAACCTGAGGACTATCGTCCGTTGGCTTAACCAGCTTCGTTGCTGAAATTTCAGAAGGATTTGCTCAAGTATCTAGACGAGAACCGGATTCTTTCTGAACAGTATCATGGCTTTAGAACAGACTACTCATTT